ATAGATAGATAGATAGATAGATAGATAGATAGATAGATAGATAGATAACTTTATTTGTATAGGACATTGGTTTGCAGCATGGTCAGCATTTACATAAAGACATACATATACAAACATCATTAATGGCAAAGAAGTTAGAGCTCAGTAATTTCTGATAACTTTTTATTGTTTAATGATTTAATCGCTTGTGGTATGAAAGAACATTTTGTCTTGTTTCTTGAGATTAAAGGAAGGCATACCTTTGAGGGGGTGGTGGTGCATGGTTAGAGAAGGAGGGCCTGTGATTGGAAGTTTGCTGGTTCAACTCCCGGTACCAACAACTTCAAAATGTGGGTGATATAGGTGAAGCACCCACACCTGTCTCCACCCTCATTTGCCCCACTCTGGGTCTTTGAGCAAGGCCCTTAACCCCCTTATCTGCACCCCCGGGCGCCCTAGATAGCAGCTCTCTGCTCCACACAGATGGCTGTGGTAGCTCGGTGGTCTGTGGTTGCGTCAGGAAGGGCATCCGATGTAAAAACAATTGGCAAGTCTTCGTGTGACAGTTCACTTTGGTGACTTCTGACGAAGGGAAAAGCCGAAACAAGAAAAAAAAAAAGAAGTCTGTACCTTTGCCCTGAAGGAAGCAACTCAAATGAGGATCTTAGGGGATGTGCACTGTCTACTATAATCTTGTTTGCCTTCCTCATAACTCTATCCATGTATACATATTTTTTTCATACTCAGCAGAGTGGTCCCTATAAAGTTTGCTGGCTGTGGTTGCTATACTTCTGCAAGGATTTCTTGATAAATCCTTGATAAGGGTCTATTAGTAAATGGCAACGCAATGTGGACTGTGAGACATATTATAACTAATATTTAGGTTGGTTTAATCCAAACAACACTGTCCTAATGTCTACTCCCAGAAAAGTTGTGGAAATTACTGAATATATCTAATTAGATGTCATTGTTTAAGTTTGTCTTATAATAAATTAATGAAGTAGTTTCCCTCTTTTGTCATGCAGCATTTATAATTGCTATATGTTGAATCTTTTAGACCTTACCGTAACAAAGTTGTGCAACCAAACAAACCAACAATTTGAGTTTAATGAGCGCACACCTATGAAATGTTTGAACACAAAGATATGAGTTGAATCCCCTGGTTTCTGACCTTCCTGTCCCATGTGACAGCAGTCAAGGACATGGTGTTCTCCAAACAAACAGAATGTCAGCTGGGTGGTTTCCATCTGATCCCCTGATGTCCAATTACCTCCACCCAAGGCTGCTGCTGTTTAACTCTCACCCTGCTTCTCTGACCACACACATATGTATGAATATTTGATTATTCTGGTTTCGAGAAGCTTTTGTAAAACAGCCCCAATCTTTTAGCTCAGCTGTAAATAATTGGCCACCTGGTGACTGGAGCAGAGAGCAGCTCCGGTTCCCATGGACACGTCCCAAACACGTGGCCTCCCAGGACAGAGGACCATCAGCTGATGATCCTGCTGCACACCACTCTGAACATCTCGCTGCTGCCTCTCCTGGCCTCATCATCGTTTTATCACTTTCATTTTCATCCTCTTCTTTTAGCTCCGTGTTGTTCTCAGGCGCAAAGATGGGTTCGGAGAAGCCGCACTTCCTGTCGCAGCCCGTGGTGAAGAACGTGTTCATGTTCCGGAACGGGGACCCGTACTTCGAGGCTCGCCGCATCGTCATCAACGAGAAGAGGGTGTCCAACTTTGAGACGCTGCTGCGCGAGGTGACCGGCGGGATCCAGGCTCGGTTCGGGGCCGTCAGGAACATCTACACCCCGCGGGGGGGTCACCGGGTGGAGGGGCTGGAGAGCCTGCAGAGCGGGGAGCAGTACGTGGCTGCTGGCAAGGAGAGGTTCAAGAAGCTGGAGTAAGAATCAGGACCATCAGGTCCACTCAGTTCTCTTTACGATACCTGTACGGGGGTCCATTAGTGCCAAAAAAAAAAAAAAAAAAAAAAAAAAAAAAACTTTAGTGTGCAATTTAAAATCACTGTTAAATTAAAACACTGGAGACATTATTGTGTGACTGCTGCTTATGAAGCATTCACACTATTGTGGTCCATGTTTCTTCCATACATTTTTTTGGCGTCTTTCTCGTTCCACGATTTTGTGTTATTTCATCATATATCAAAACAGTCAGCTGATTCAGAATTGGAATTGGTGCAACTTTAGCTTTTTGAAATATTTAGCCTTTTCTGCCATTTTCTTCCCTCATATAAATGAATTGAGCTCATTTTCCATCCTTCATGTCTTGAGATATGTTTACAGCCTTTTATCGCTCCTTTCACATTTTGTTCTGGTTCAGTTTCTTTCAGTTTCCTTGTGCAAATTTCAACTTTTTTCAGCTACTTTCAGCTAGTGTCAGCTGTTTTGTTCAGCTGTTTTGTGCTGCTTTCAGATTCGTTCTGCTAACTACAATATTGTTGTGCTTCTTCCAACTTCTTTCTGCTCCTCTTGGCTTATTCCTGCTAGTTTCAACTTGTTTCTGCTATTTCACCTACTATTTAGCTGTTATTTGCAAATGTTAGCGTTTTCATCAAATTCCACATTTTAAAAACTCATTTCAGTGCTTTCTGTTTTTTCTGGTAGTTTAAGCTTTTTTTCCCCTTTTCAGCATTTTTTATTTTTTTTGCTAATTTGAGCTTTTTAAAGCTAATTTTCTAATGTTTGTGCTAATTTCTGCTTATTTAAACCAAATTCAACAGATCTGTTTTCTTTCTGCTTTTTTCTGCTAATATAGACTTGTTCTTCCATTTCTGCTTTCACCAGGTGGAGGGGCAGCTGTGGCTAAGTGGTTGGAGCAGTCATCCTCCAATGCAAAAGTCGGAGGTTTGATTCCACCAGCAGTCATATGCTGAAGTGTCCCTGGGCAAGACACTGAACCCCTCATTGCCTCTGATGTGTGTCCCATCAGTGTATGAATGTGATAATGCTCTGATTAGTCTCTTTAGAATGAGTTGTTCAATTAGCTTTGTAGAGATCTAGTAGAGTGCTGTATGAATGGGTAAATGAGGACACAGATTGTGTTGTAAAGAGCTTTGAGTGTCTTGATAAGATAGAAAGGTGCTATAGAAGTACAGTCCATTTTGTAGTTAACTTCAGCTGTTTTTTCAGCAAGTTCTTCTGCAATAAGCATTCACACTGCATTTTTGCAGGAAATGCAATTTATCAAGTTTTAATTATATTTACTGAAGTGCACTTCACAACTCTACACTGAATTGTGGTTATACATTTTACATGACTCATCAATTTTGCACCAGCTGCTGAGTCACTCATTCGAATAGGATCAGTGAGACGAGAATTATAATCTGCTCAGAACTAAAAATATCTGGATTTATGGATAAGATGACGATGTTTCTACAGCCAACGTAGTTGACCGTGTTGATGTATTTTTACATTTTTGTTGCACATCTGATAGGCACCATCCTCATAGTTCTGTGACAGTCGTTGCACACTGTGTCTTGATATTTTAGTAGGTTTGTTCCTATGAATGCTGACTCAGTTACAGTCTTAGTTTCTATTCATCTGCATAGATCATAAATAGAAAAAGTACACAGAATTCCTGTTCATAGTTGTTTCCATTTCAGATAAACAATGGCATCATTTGCAACTGTTGCTCCAACGAAAGTTGCTTGATGTAGTGAAGATGCAAAAAGACTTTTAACAACCAGATTGTTCACATTGTCAGATAGTTATATCATAAAAAACAACCAATTTGATTAGTCCACATAGTTTTTTCTTCTTCAGCACAATATGATAATCACAATATAATTTTCAGCAATAACAAATTTTTGAGCAAACATATGTTTACTACTATATTTTAAATAAAAATAAATACATGTTGCTGTTCTAATCATGTCACAGAACATTTGCTGAAAGTTTTATGGCAATAACTAAACATATGTAGAAATTGGACTATTTCTTGTGAGGGATCACAGCTTTTTACATTGTTCAATAAATTGTTCAGACGTAAATGATCTCAATATTTTGAATTTTAAAAACACAGTAATTGTTCTGTAATTTACTTTTCCCCTTCTCTATTCCTAATTTTAACCCAGATGATGTTGGTATTGTTTAATTTAAATTTATTTCAATTTAAATCTTTAATTTTAACATTTTTGAGGGTCTTGTTGTCAGTTTTTTTTTTTTATTATTATTAGGATTTGCTGAAAGCTTAGCTCTAATCCAGAGATGAATGCATAAACGTTGGTTACGTACTGTAACCCCAGATTCTATGAGTATAAGCGTAGCCCTTTAAGGCCTTCGCTTTAGTGGGTTTATCCCGTTATGCAGAGCATAAGCACTGAAAAAATTAGTCCACGCCCACCTGCTGTGTGGGCCCCACCCGGTCCGTATAAATTACGTTAAGAGCGGGAAATCGGCTCCCAAAATAGCTTTTTCTTCAGCCATTTAGGAGCCAGTGAGGCCCGACGCTTAAAGGGCTACGCTTATACTCATAGAATCTGGGGTTACAGTATGTAACCAACGTTCTATGTCGTATAAGCTTCGCCCTTTAAGGCCTTCGCTTTACTGGGTAAAGGGCGAAGCCGATGTGGTCCTCGCCTCACTGGGTCCATTCGAACACAGTAAGAAGCAGAAGCTTGCCCAAAAAACGTCTTGTCACTCAGCTCCCCGTGTGCATAACTACGCATCGCGTAATTATGTGCCATGCACAGACGCATGTTGAGTAACTATGCGTTCTGACAAAGCATGAATGCCCCGGAAAACTTTCAACGGGAAGAAGAAGTTGAAAAGAGTGGGGGGGGGGGGGCATGAACCAACTGGTTCATGGTTGAACAGTATAAACAGATTAATGTCCATGAATTGATTATTGATCAAATGAACTGATTGGTAACAATAGTCATGAACTGATTAGTGACAATAAAACCAAAATCACAGACACGACTTGTGACTGATAACAACATCTCACACTGTAATGCATGCAGACAGAAGTGAGCTTAAACAGAGTTCCATGAGAACAATAATATTCATTCTGTTAGAGCACTAAGGACAGAATGTGTCATGGAACGAGCCGTTACATCACGTAGGTAAAAGCGAATAAATGAGCAGGGTGTTGACCATGCAGCCGCAGTGCAAATGTCCTGCATTGACATACCATTATGCAGAGCAGTCGAAGATGCGATACCCCTGGTCGAGTGTGCTTAGAGGTTGACAGGAGGCCCTAAATCTGATGCTCTGTAGGCTTCAGAAAAAACCTCACACAGCCAGTGTGACAAGCGCTGGATGGATAACGGCGACCTGCAGAAGCATCTCTATAATGCACAAACAATTGTTGAGTTTGAAACGCATTGCAGCTGTGCGCGTTATGTAACACGTCAACGCCCGCACCGGGCAGAGAAGATGAAAAGATGCTTCCTCTTCTGATCTGTGGGGGGGAAAAGACCCCTCCAACGATATCACTCTTGATTTAAAAGAGCTCGTGATGTTTTAGGCATAAAAGCTGGGTTGGTCTTAAATCAGCTGAGCTGCCCGTCAGCCTAAATTCTAAGGCATGACGAAGCAACAGAGAGGGCAGATAATTACTTATCCTCTTAGCGGGTGTTAAAACCAGCAGCAGGGCTGTTTAAAGAGACAAGAATTTAAATGAAACCTGATCCAGAGGCTCAATTGGAGCTTTGATCAGGGCTCGCAGGACCAGCGTTAAATCCCACTGTGGAGCAAGTGGACGTGAAGCAGGCCTGTGTCTCTGAACATCTTTTAGAAAAACGCTTCATCAGCGGGTGATTAAAAGCTGTTCTGTCTCCGAAACCTTCGTGGCAGGAATAGATGACTGCAACGTATGTTAAAGCGTACTGAAAGCCAACTCCCTATCCATCAGCTGTTGTAGAAAAACAACACGCCGCCTAAAAGGCATGAGGTGGCCTCTAAACCTTCTCTGTACACCAGCGCTGAAAAGCCGTCCCCTTTGATGTGTACAGAACTGTGGTAGATGCAGCACGTGAATCTTGAATTGTGCACACTATCTCCTGAGGGAGACCCATCCTCTAAGTGGGACCGCTCAGCGGTCAGACCCACAGGTGTTGACCTATTTCTGGGTAACTCTTGGTCGCTCCTCCTGCCTGAAGGAGAGCATCCTCCCTCCACGACAGTTCCACGGCGACCCGACAACAGACGTTGCAGGCCTGGGAACCATGGTGCGTTCACACGCCGGGAGCCACCAGGAGAGCTGTCAATCCCTCCTCCTGAACTCGGTTCAGGAACCGTAAAAAACAGAGGAGGTGGGGGAAAAGAAACGCGTATAAGAGCGTTTTGGGCCACCGGCTGTGAGCAAATGCGTCCCCCCCCAGCGATGGATCGTCTCGCGGGCTCAGGGAAAACCGTAGTTGACACTGAGCGTTCTTCTCGCGTCGCAAACAGGTCCACAGCTGCTTTGCCAACTTCTGCTGCGTCTGAAAACATCAGATCTGGATGGAGGGTCCGGTCCACGTGACGTGGGCCGCCCCTGGACGTCACATCTGCCCCTCTGTTCAGAACACCGGATATGTAAACCGCTCTAATAAAGAGCAGGTTTTGATGAACCCAACTCAGTAGCTTTCGCACAATGTGTAACATCTGGGCTGAACGCACACCCTTTGATGGTTATGTACGCAGCAGTCATCATGTTGTCTGTGTGAATCAACACGTGTTGATTCTGTAGCACGGGAGCAAAGTGTTGAATCACATTCAGTACTGTGCGACACTCCAAAACATTGATGTGGGCTGATGTGTAGTGGGGCCACAGCGCCCCTACTGCTTGAGATAGGCATGTCCCCCCCCCCCCCCCCCCCCCGCC